TTTGCTTTGGAACATACCTTGTATATTCTGAATCAGCATGACGAGAGAAATCGATCTAGACATGTCCATCCGTCCGTCCAACCAAAGTTGGCATCCAGATTCTCTTAGGTCGAAGAAAAGGCGAGTTTATTTTATTTTCTTATTTCCCCCCTTTCCACGCTACAGAATTTCGTCACTGCCGACCACATTTTAAATGCTACATTAACCAAACTTTGCAGACAAAATTTTTATATAAATATCTACTTTTGTATATATATACTTTATGGGGTCAGAGATTCTTCCTTCTGCATGTTACATACTTTGCACAAACCAAATATACACTTTTTACCCTTCGGGTACAGGGTATAAAAACGACCTCCATATTTCACTATCAAACTCAACTTTGGTTCAACCTCATAATGCACTGTCTATAATTTTTTCTAAATTTAAAATTACATTTTATTGTTTGCAACAGAGGGAGGGTAGGTATCATGCATTAGAAACTCGTATTGGTCAAGTTTTAGTTGAATATACTCCTTATAGGTTAGTAATTGAATTCACTTCTCTTTTTTATAGCTGTACCCAAAGGGCAAAAGGCTATATTAGTTTTGTGCGAATGTATATAACACACAGAAGGAGGCGTGGCAGTCCCCACAAAGTATATATGTATATTATTGATCAGGGTGACATGGCAATTCGATATAGCCATGTCCGTCTGTCCGTCCGTCCGTCCATCTGTCCGTCTGTCTGTATGAGCGCAAGGATCTCAGAAGGTACAAGAGCTAGAATAACCAAACTTGGTATCATTCATCCAGTTAGTGCTTATCTGTCCGTGTGCCAAGTTTCATCATGATAGGTCAATTCTGAAGGAAGTTATAGCCATAAATAAAATCGCTGCCCATGCGCTGCCTGCAGCTCTGCCGGTAGTGCTGCCCGCAGCTGTTGTTGTTGTTGCTGCTTTGGTTCAACTTTCTGCTGCATACATACACGCATATATAGTAAACACTCATAGGCACGTGATGTAAATGTATGCTGTTAAAACTGAATTTAATTAATTAATTCAATTTTTATACCCTGTACCCGTAGGGTAAAAAGGGTATATTAGGTTTGTGCAAAGTATGTAACATGCAGGAGGAAGCATCTCCGACCCCATAAAGTATATATATTCTGAATCAGCATGACGAGAGAAATCGATCTAGACATGTCCGTCCGTCAGTCTGTCCGTTCGTCTGTCCGTCTGGATGAATGCAAGGATCTCAGAAACTATAAAAGCTAGAATAACCAAAGTTGGCATCCAGATTCTCCTAGGTCCGAGAAAGGACGAGTTTATTTTATTTTTTGGAATTTTGTACATTTCCTTTTGTTATCCTTTTCTTAGTCTCTACAGCTGCCAGTGCAGCTGCAGTCGAAGTTAGTTGATCTAGATTCGCCGTGCCAATCTAGCGCTTCTCGCTGTGCATTTGTACGAGACAACGCACTTCTACTTTTGCGCATATTGTTTAAAGGCTCAACTATTTGAGTTGGCGGCCTCTTAAATTCGTGTGTATTAATTCGGTTTATAGACAAACATAATTGGCCCTGCGCGGCAAAATATACATTACATTACATTTGAAAAGAAATCGTTCTTGTTTAATTGTCGTGTCTGACGCCCGCTTCAGACAAAACCCATAGACTAAAAAAGGCTACCGAATAAGCTCGGTGCCTCAACACCGTCCACATTTCAAAAGTTACATTAACCAAACTTTGCACACATAATGTATACATAATAGTCTACTTTTGTTTTAAATTTAATCTAATTCTAATTTCCTACAGTACAGTAATTTCCTACAGTAATTTCCTACAGCACCGGCATACTGACGGCCATACCGATCTAATGTAGAGATACTAAAGCGATTCCAAAATAAAATTCTAAGGATACTGACTGGCGCACCACTTTACATGTGGAACACAGGCATCCCGAGAGACCTGCGCATTGAATTGGTATATGAGACCACTCAACTTCTCGCGGACCGGCATGGCCAGCGGTTGTCGGCACACACTAACACCCTGGCCATAAACCTACTGGACAACAGCCAGCACCTCAGGCGTCTCAAGAGAACCCATCCCCTCGACCTCCCCTTTCGCACTTATTAGCTAGTATGGCCTGGCATAACTCAGCGATCTGCCTTAAGCACGTCACAGCCATCATGACAAAACGAATGATTGAACAAATCCAATGCTACCATATAATTTAATAATTGTCCTCTCTAGGGCAGATCTTAAATAAAGAATAAAGATTTTTTAAAAAAAACTTATGTATGTATGCATGTGTTGAATATTTTATATTTAATTAATTAAATTTTTTAGAATAATTTTTTTTTGTAGCCTATCTTTTTTTGTGGAGGGAACAGGGTATTTTACTGTCGAGCTTGATCGACTGTAGCGTTCTATCTTGTTATAATCTCTAAAAGAATGCAAAAAAACAAATCTCTTTGTGCGGTAAATATATTTCAATGTGAAAACAGAGTAAGCAGACGCGCCCCTCTATATCAATAAGGACTTACAATTTATTTTTATTTATTTATTTATTTATTGTTTAGTGATTTAATTACCAATGTGTGTGGTTTTTCTCCCGTTGCCGTTGTGCTCCGTTGTGTTTGACGCTGCACTTGTCCCATTCCAAACCACGTCAAATTATGCAATTGGAACATGTATGTATGTATGACTTGTTTATGCCAATTAAGCTTAAGCTTATGTACGATGCAGCGATGCAGTTATGACATGTATTTGCTGATTAGCAATAGAGGATAATATTAAAATAATGTCAGGCCATGAAGCTATTTACATGTTAACAAATCAAACCCCAGTTACCTTAAATGCCTTTGTACTGGTAACTAATAATGTGAAAACATATGCACAAACAAAATATATACTATTTGAAACATTATATTGAGCCGGGTTAAGACGGGCAATACCTGCTAGTACTACATAAATATACATACACGTATGTGTTATGTATGTACTTACGTATGACCATACATAGTATTTTGCACTATATAACATAGCTCTCGGAATGTACCTAAATAATTTGCAAGACTTGATAGATTACTATATGTCTCAATACTGCTGCCTATATTACCTGTACTTACCAAGTTCTTCATGTGTAAAAGTTACACATGAGACGATTTTGATTTTCTCTTATGCTCAGACAAAAATTGGTGAATATCAGCACAGTTACGACTGCAGTCAAAATTCTCAATTAATTTTGCTTTTAAATCCTCAAAGTCGGTTACACATTCTGATTCTAGAAACAATTTGACCGTTTCACACATTTTGGCTTTCGCTTGGACATATTTTTATACTCTGTATATTAGGTTTGCGGGTCCTGAAAAATGAAAAAGGCAGAAGGAGGCGTGGCAGACCCCACAAAGTATATATATTGATCAGCATGACAAGGCGAGTCGATATAGCCCTGTCTGTCTCTCTGTCCGTCTGACAGTCTGTCCGTCTGGATCACAGAGAGCTAGAGACACCAAATTTTGCACAAAGATGCCTTATTTTTGATTTTCCCACTCACTTCCCCGATAATGGGGTTTTTCCTAAACGCCGTTCGTATAATCGCCTATATCTCGGAGACTATAAGACCTAGGGCAATACAATTTTAAGTCCAAGATGCTTTATGTGAATACGCAGAAAATGTGTTTTTTTGGAAATTAATCAATTCATGTTATTGTATGCTCCATACTCGCTACTTTTTCCGGAATCTCGGCAAATGCTATGCCATGCACAATATTGTGCCTCTTGCTTTTAAAATCTCTGAGACCTTGATATTCATACGGATAGACTAACAGACGGATAGACAGATAGGGCTTCATTGACTCGTCTTGTCAAGCTTGTCTGCCACGCCTCCTTCTGCCTTTTACAAAGTAAACTTTGCACAAACCTAATATACTCTCGTACCTTTCTGGTGCAATTATATACAGAAGTTCAAAAATATATACGCATTGTGGCACTTGACAATCATATTTTTAAGAAGTTATGTTGGTCAACTGTATAGCAGAAGTAGTAAAGTGCGGTTGTAACATGAAACAAGTAAAAAAGCTAAAGTCGGGTGTCCCGACTTCGAAATACTCTGTACATATGTTTACAATAATTATAGAAAATAAAAAAAATTAAGAAAATAAAAAAAAAAATTTGATCGATTTTACCTCTCTCGGTATTCGAACTCACGTAAAGGGTGTATAATTGCACATTTACATAGCAATTGCGTTTGTGTGAGTGTATGTATCCCTATGCGCATCAATTCGTGTCTGTGTAAGCATTTTCGCAGTCAACCAAACAGCAACATCAACAACAGCCGCGGGCAGCGGTTGAGCAGCGCTGCAGCAGCGCTGCATCAGCAAATATATTTATGGCTATAACTTCTTGTTAAATCGGTTTATCATAATGAAATTTGGCATACGGACACATAATAACTAACTGGGGGTATTTCCAAAATTTTAGTTCGAAATTCCAAGAATTACGGGAGTTACGATTTGCGGGGTAGAGGGGGGAGGGAGGGGAATTCCAAAATATACATTTTCTGCGTATTCACATAAGGCATCTGGGACTAAAATTTGGTGTTCCTAGGTCTTATAGTCTCCGAGATATAGGCGATTATACGAATGGAAAATCGGGAAAACCCCCATAGGGGGGAAGTGGGGGGGAAAATCAAAAAAATAAAACAAACTCGTATAGATTACACACATAACGCATCTTCGTGCAAAATTTGGTGTCTCTATCTCTTATAGTCTCTGAGATCCAGGTGTTCATACGGACGGGCAGACGGACAGACGGACAGACAGACAGACAGGGCTAGATCGACTCGTCTCGTCATGCTGATCAAGAATATATATACTTTGTGGGGTCTGCCACGCCTCCTTCTGCCTGTTACATTTTTCAGCTCCCGCAAACCTAATATACTCTTGTACATTTCATGTACAGAGTATAAAAACATTCACAACTTAATAAACTCACTAACTTATTGTATATAAATACTTTACCCGAAACGTTGTATCAGCTTTTCAATTACAAGGGAATAACAGGCACAAGAAAGGGAGTACATTGCCATTCCCCAGCATCCAAAGCGTACGCCTTCTTCATATTGTAATTGTCGTGCTGAACCTTCCATTGCTTTTGGGTCACCATCAAATACAGCCTCCCCTACAAAATCCGTAAAATACAATGAGTAACAGACGTGAGCCATCCAGCAAAATAGATTTGTAAGGCAGACAATGCGCAGAGAGTACGGCATGTACACAATAGAGTTTAAGTAATGTGACATGGACTTTATATCTGTATTCTCGGTGAAGCTTGGTATTTGTGCATCGTCAGTACACATTTCTTGATTATCCGTAAACGAAGTTTCATCAACGTTGGCATCAATTTCGCACAAATTGTGGGTCGGCGGTGTAGCTTTTAGCTTAGGAAAAGAAAAACTACAAGGGTCAATGAAAGACAGATACTAGGTAACTAAAATATATTTAAGAATAAATAAAAATAATAATAATATGAAAAACAATTAAATATATTTGGATTTTTGGTATTAAGATGAAGTGGATAAATAGTACCTGTTCATTAATTTCGCCACTTTTGTAGATGTCTTTATTGTCAAATGCTCCATAATTTACACCCGACGTTTCTAAGACATTATCTTCATTTGGACTTGCTTTAGGTTTTGGATTTAGTAAGACCCAAAGAGGAATTTCCTTAAAGCTTGTAATTGTAAATGTTACGCAGGCGATAAAAATGAACGTTATAATAGTGAACACGGCCTTAACATGCCCACCAAGACGTCGACCTATAATTATGTATTTTGTATGAAACCAACTACTATAAAGTTATTTTACATACCTATTGACGTTGAATCCCAATTTATGCCACCCATTGAGTATCCGAAAAAGCCTCCTAAGCCGGCCATTATAGTGAACGTAGATAAGCCTTTTGCATGGTCCGCCGGAATACACACATCTAACAGGTACGCTCTTGAAGGACTTTGACAAGCATCGGCATCAAAGTCAAGTAAAACAGTTCCCAATACAGTGAAGAAAATGCCCCATGGATGTGCAGTTTTTTTAATTTCTGGAACTTTGGTTTCCGAAGCCGTTGCCCGGTGTGGAGACATATTAATATTATGTGTTTCCGCAGAAGTAATATTCATGGAACTAATTTGAGAATGAGCATTTTCATCACCAAACCAATACCCCAAGGCTTCTCCATTGGGCACCAAAAGAAGTCCTATGTAGCATTAAAAAGAATCGGAAAAAATGTAATATATTTATTTACTGTTATTGTTTAATGGATAAATAACCAACTTATTGTTAATGTATAGATATATATGGTGTGACACTAATATTTAATTAATATTTTGAATATCGTTTCTCTTACAGTTTTTAATGGGTTTTTATAGTAGGGTACACTAGTTTTGTGCGAGTGTATGTAACACACAGAAGGTGTGGCCCGCCAAAGTATATATAATATTGATTAGTACGACAAGACGAGCCGATATAGCCATGTCTGCCAGTCCGCCCGTCTGCCTGTGTGTCCATCCATATGAGAGCAAGGATCTCGGAAAGTATAAAAGCTACAATAACAAAACTTGGTATCCAGACTCTTCTAAGACCGAGAAAGTACGAGCTTGAGTTTTTTTTCGATGCTCCCCCCTCTCCCATCATCATACATCAAAATACACATTATCTGTGTATTCACATAAGGCATCTGGGATTAAAATTTTGTGTCCCTAGCTCATATAGTGTCTGAGATATAATCGTATAATCGCCTATACGAATGGAAAATCGGGAAAACCCCAATAGTGGGGAACCGGGGGGAGAGGGGGGGGGGTGCGGGTTATCAAAAACTAAAACAAACTTGCACAGCGTACACACATAAGGCATCTTTGTGAAACATTTGGTGTCTCTAGCTCTCTGAGATCCAGTTGTTTATACGGACAGACAGACAGATCAAGAATATATATACTTTGTGGGGTCAGCCTGCCTGTTACATTTTTCAGCTCGCGCAAACCTAATATACTCTTGTATATTTCATGTACAGAGTATACAAATTTCAAGCCCAAATTTGTTAGTTACATCCAGATAGCGATTATTTGTCATATATAAAGTTTCATCATGATAGGTTAATTATGAAAGAAGTTATAGCCATAAATGTAATCTCTGCCGAAGATCTGCCCGCAGATGTTGCTGTTGTTGCTGCATTGGTTTCACTTTGTACTACATACATAAGTACACGCATATAATCGCTCATAGACCCAATTCGGATGTATGGGCATTTATCCTGATGCAACTGTACATAAACATTTATTTATGTATGTATGTGTGGAATATTTCATATTTAATGTAATTAACTTAATTTTAGTTTTTAAAATTTTTTTGGAGTGTTGAGTCGCTTGACTCTAGCATTCCTTTCTTGTTGTAAATTTCTTTGATTAGTGTACACATACTCGTACATGGGAACAGAGTACTTTAAACTCGATGCACCCGATATTCGCTTTTCCACTCGTTTTATCGTTTGAGTTCAGCTCTACACTAAATTATTTGTATTTTATTAATTTATTTATTTCATTACCGATAATAACTCCGATGGATAAAAGTATTATGAATGGCCTTCGTCGTCCCATATTCAGTTTACAGCGGTCTGAAAACGAACCTAATATGGGACATAAAAAGAATCCAACCAACGGCGACAATGCCCACACCAGTGTCATGGCTTGATGCTCCACGCCTATTTTCAACAGGGTAGGTGACACGAACGCTGTCTCAGCTGCATAAGAAAACTCAATGCCCATCACAGCAGTAGACACTCGCACCAACTCTGCTCGAGTTTTATATCTGTGAATAAGAAAACAATATATTTACATTTATTGCTTTTTAAATTCGTTTAGCGCAGCGGGATTCGACTTAAATTATCACTGACAAATCAAATATTGGGTGTGGGATATACTCGTACTATACAAGTAAATACGTTACATTTTCTTATGGTGTATAGCAGTACTATATATAAGTGATTGACAAATAGGATTATGTAAATCTACATATGTAGAAAATGTTGCCCAACAGAAAGAAAAACACCAGTGGTATTCACAAAATTCACAAAAAACACTAACAAAGACATTTTTATAGCCTGTACCCAAAGCGTAAAAGGCTATATTAGTTTTGTGCGAATGTATGTAACACACAGAAGGAGGTGTGGCAGTCCCCACAAAGTATATATGTATATTATTGATCAGGATGACAAGCCGAGTCGATATAGCTATGTCCGTCTGTCCGTCCGTCCATCCGTCTGTCTGTATGAGCACAACGATCTCAGCAAGTGCAATAGCTAGGATAACCAAACTTGGCATTCAGGTTCCCCTAAGCCCTAGACAGATCAAGTTTGTGTTTTTTTCTGAAACACCCCCCACTCCCCAGAAATTTGTGTTTTTCATAGCTCCGGTAATTCTTGGAATTTTGGCATATACATCCAGTTTGTGGTTTTTTGTCCGTATCCCAAGTTTCATCATGATAGGTCCATTCTGAAGTAAGTTATAGCCATAAATAAAATCGCTGCCCATGCGCTGCCTGCAGCTCTGCCTGCAGCTGTTGTTGTTGCAACTCGGCATACAGACTTATAATCAATAATTGGAGGTACTTTCCGAAACTTAATGAAAAATTCCAAGAAATACAAGTAGTTATGGAAAATCAGTGATTACGTTGGAGAGGGGGGAGGGAGGGAAATTCCAAAAAAACAAATTTTCTGCATATTGACATAAGCCATCTTGGACTAAGTCCTATGTCTTATAGTCTTATAGTCTCCGAGATGCAGGCGATATATATTCGGTAAACGAAAAGCTATTTGCAATCAACGCACAGCCCACACGGTAAGAGCTAGTAGGCTGAAAATTGGACACATATTGTCTTCAGTGGTTTAGGTGAGCACTAAGAAGCGGTTTTGGAAAATTCGAGCTCCAAAGGGGGGAAAACGAGCTCCAAAGTTTGTTTGAAAAATCCGCATTTTTTAGCCGATCAACATAAAACTTGGTTTTTAAAATTAATAAAAGAATACAAAAAAAAACTGCATACTCGGTTTATTTTTTTTGTTGGAGCTTGAATTATTGGGGTTTTCTTGGGGCACAAAAGGAAACCACGTCAACAGCCCACAGCCCACACGGTAAGAGGTAGGATGCTGAAATTTGGGGTCAAGTATCCTATCATAGTGTAAATGTGCATTAAGAAGGGATTTTGGATTTTTCGAGCTCCAAAGGGGGGAAAAGTAGCTCCAAAGTTTGCTTGAAAAATCCGCATTTTTCAACCGATCGACTTAAAACTTAGTTTCAATTATATTACAATTAATATACAGAAGTATATTAGGTTTGCGGGAGCTGAAAAATGTAACAGGCAGAAGGAGGCGTGGCAGACCCCACAAAGTATATATATTCTTGATCAGCATGACAAGACGAATCGATTTAGCCTTGTGTGTCTGTCTGTCCGTGTGTCCGTCCGTATGATCACCTAGATCTCAGAGACTATAAGAGCTAGAGACACCAAATTTTGCACAAAGATGCCTTATGTGTGTACGCTATACGAGTTTGTTTTATTTTTTTGATTTTCCTCCCCACTTCCCCCCTATGGGGGTTTTCCCGATTTTCTATTCGTATAATCGCCTATATCTCGGAGACTATAAGACCTAGTAACACCAAATTTTAGTCCCAGATGCCTTGTGTGAATACGCAGAAAATGTACATTTTGCAATTTCCCTCCCTCCCCCCTCTCCACGGCAAATGCGATTTTCTCTAACTCCCGTTCTTGGAATTTCGAACTAAAATTTTGGAAATACCACCAGTTGGTTATTATGTGTCCGTGTGTCAAGTTTCACTATGATAGACCGATTTAACAAGAAGTTATAGTCATAAATATATTTGCTGCTGCAGCGCTGCCCACGGCTGTTGTTGATGTGTGCGGTTCTCTACGTACGGTTTAAAAAGTAAAGAGAAACATGCATATGTATGTATGTATGCCTATGTATGAATATAGCATGTATGTACATTCGTATTAATGTATACATTGGGCAATCGAACACAGTTGTTTGATTGTAAAAAAATAATGCTCTAAAAACAACAACAACTGGAAGTCATTGGCTCGCTCTTCTTCTTTCGTTTTGACCATTTAATGTTAATTGCAAAGGCAAAACGCCAAAAGTTTACAGTTACCGTCGCTAGGCAACGACTGCGTAAGCGATAGTAAAGCAGAAACCGAATAACGGAGCTACGCATATTCTGCTTCGCATTGCGGGCAGATGTATGTATGTATATGATTTGTTCTTATTGATCTCAATAAATAATTAGATTTTATTATTTAGATATTCTACTTATTGCATTCAAACTTCGATATTTTGATGGTATCGGTGGCTTCAACTATCGAAAGTTTTACTCTAGCAAATTGAGATGAGAATTGTCAGTGCTTTTTAATCGTGGCTCATCGCTGCAAGGCATTGACACGAGTGCCGTGTTTCATATTCCGGGTTTGTGCGTGACCGTATTGACTCAATATGGCACGAAAAGACTCAAATGTGAATTTAAAATTATATAATTATTCCCCTTTTTTGCACATAGTCTATCTTAAAACGTTGCGTTATCTCTATATATAAAACAGTTTGTCCTGACTAATTGGTGATCAACGCACGGCCCAAACGGTAAAAGATGATATTTGGACGCAAGTATCCTTTCATAGTATCCATCATAGTGTAGGAGCACACTAAGAAATGCTTTTGGAAAATTCTAGCTCCAAGGGGGGCAAAACGAGCTTTAAACAAGAGAGAACGCTACAGTCGAGCAAGCCCGACAGTGTAATACCCTGGACCCAGGTAAACTTCCGTCACTGAGTTATATGCGCCCATAGCAGCAGCAAAAAGAGGAAGAAGAAGAGCGAACTTGTTGCTGCAGTTTGGTGAGGTTGTACTGGCGAGAATTTGTTTCGCTAATAACTTTTCTTGAACAACAGTAGACAATTATATATAAATTATGTGTGCAAAGTTTGGTTTAGGTAGCATTTGAAATGTGGACGCTATTGACGAAATTCTGTAGCGGGGGAATGGGGGGAAAATTCCAAAAAATAAAATAAACTCGGACCTAGGAGAATCTGGATGCCACAGACGGACGGACATGTCTAGATCGATTTCTCTCGTCATGCTGATTCAGAATATATATACTTTATGGGGTCGGAGATGCTTCCTTCTGCATGTTACATACTTTGCACAAACCTAATATACCCTTTTTACCCTACGGGTACAGGGTATAAAAATATTAGTTATAGTGGTCATGTTCGTTTAACGAAATAGTTTGGCAAGAACAAAAATGTAACGGACTACTGAACAATTTTTTGTCAAGAACAGAAAATGTTCATTTAAATACCTTAAATGTCTTCCTACTGGTAACTTATAAGGTGAAAACATATGGGTAGGTTATGCGCACACAAAATAAATACAATTGGAAACATTATATTGAGCCGGGTTAAGACGGGCAATACCTGCTAGTAATCTATAAAAGAATACAAACAAAACTGCATTCTTAGATTTTCGAACTTTGTGATAGAGCTTGAATCATTGGGGTTTTAATATTTATTCACATTTTCAAATGAAAAGCATGTTTTATATATTTTTTCCGATCGATTTCAAATTTGGGGACTGTAATCTACGTAACTAAATCTACAACTTTGCGTTCAAGGATTTTCAAAATATGCATTTTACAAATTCAGGCAGAATAAATAATACAAAATATCAAACAGTTTGGGACAACTAAGTATACATACACACACACAAGGGCGTAGGCAGGGGGGGTCGTTGAAATATACAGAAGTATATTAGGTAACAGGCAGAAGGAGGCGTGGCAGACCCCACAAAGTATATATATTCTTGATCAGCATGATGAGACGAGTCGATGTAGCTCTGTCTGTCTGTCTGTCCGTCTGTCCGTCCGTATGAACACCTGGATCTCAGAGACTATAAGAGATAGAGACACCAAATTTTGCACAAAGATGCCTTATGTGTGTATTCTATATGAGTTTGTTTTATTTTTTGATTTTCCCCCCCACTTCCCCCCTATGGGGGTTTTCCCGATTTTCCATTCGTATAATCGCCTATATCTCGGAGACTATAAGACCTAGGAACACCAAATTATAGTCCCAGATGCCTTGTGTGAATACGCAGAAAATGTATATTTTGGAATTTCCCCAGTTGGTTATTATGTGTCCGTGTGGCAAGTTTCACTATGATAGACCGATTTAACAAGAAGTTATAGCCATAAATATATTTGCTGCTGCAGCGCTGCCCGCGACTGTTGTTGATGCTGGTGCTTTGGTTGACTGCACACATGTTTACACGGACACGAATAGATGCGCATAGGCATACATACACTCACACAGACGCAATTGCTATGTAAATGTGCAATTATACACCCTTTACGTGAGTTCGAATACCGAGAAAGGTAAAATCGATCAATTTTTTTTTTTTAATTTTTTTAATTTTTATACCCTGTACCCGTAGGGTAAAAAGGGTATATTAGGTTTGTGCAAAGTATGTAACATGCAGAAGGAAGCATCTCCGACCCGATAAAGTATATATATTCTGAATCAGCATGACGAGAGAAATCGATCTAGACATGTCCGTCCGTCTGTCCGTCCGTCTGGATGAACGCGAGGATCTCAGAAACTATAAAAGCTAGAATAACCAAAGTTGGCATCCAGATTCTCCTAGGTCCGAGAAAGGACGAGTTTATTTTATTTTTTTCGAATTTTCCCCCCATTCCCCCGCTACAGAATTTCGTCAATAGCGTCCACATTTCAAATGCTACCTAAAC